GCTATTTCACAAACTAGCAGTGATGACAGTAGGAAGATCCTGGATATGTCTAGGAGTATAAACCTTAAAATTGAGAACACCATTTTCATTCACAATGAAAACACTATAGAAGGAGGAATAACACCAAATCACAAATCGATTTCTTCATTTCAAATATTCACGGTAGGTTATAAAAGTAATGCCGAACATAAATATTTCCGATCATAATTAATCAGAGCAAGCATCATAAGGAATTTGTGGGGAAATTCCCAACGGCTCACTATCCCCAACCAGCCCAGATACCTTCCCTGGACAGAAAATGCAACCTACAACAACGAGTAAAGCTACAGTTTGATCAAAATTTAAGTGATAGGGTGATAATTTTCCTAGCGTCATCGGAGTCTTGTTCTGTAGAGGAATTCTGGTTGTCCTTCAAAAACAATTTATTTGGAGCCTGCAATGATCTTCCCAATATTTACAAGAACTCAAGTTACATGAAAGACGTGATGGTAACCTCTGTACTACAATCCATAGACTCCTTAGGAGGGACAGAAGGATTTACATTGCAAAAATATTTTTTGAGATAGACAGGGATTTCGGGGAAAATAGTATATTTGACGCCTTCAAAAAGCTCAAATACTTCTGCACAGCTAAAGTGTTTGAAACACTCCCTTCGATAAGGCTAAAAAACAATTAATTGATTACTGACCCAGATAAACAGATGGCATTGTGTTTAGATCATTATATGAGTATCCTTGATTCTAGGAGGCCAACCTTAATACAATCATTAGCCATAGTGTTGAACCACCTGATGCTTTTCATTGGCCGAAATAGCTGCCGCCATAAATATAATTAGGAATAATAAATCTCCTGGTACTGATAACATTACTGGGGAACATCTGAAAGCCGCCCCTCAGTTATTTCTCAGTTCTTACTGAGATTGTTTAGTAAGATATGGCTCACTGGGACGATGCCAGCGGATTGAAATATGACCACCTTCTACAATCCCTAATTCTAATCCAATAAAATTCAAGGATTACGGAGCCATTGCTCTACGTCTATTGCATCAAAGGTTTTTATGGTCCTTTTAAAAAAACCGCATTCTCTCTTCTATCCCCCAACCTTCTATCAAAATATATTTGCGCTTACCGTCCAGGAAGAAATATGAATGAAACAATTTAACCTTTAAGATTATAATGCAGAAATTCGACAAATATAAGTTACCTTTTTACTTTATTTTTATTGACTTTAAAGCGCTTTTGATAATGTTAGTCATGATTCGCTGTGGAAGATCTTAGCAGATTGCGGCATTGACATTAATATTATAAGGATCCTTAATAATGGCAGTCTTTTTGCCTCTTTCAAAATCCACAATAAAGTTTTCATCCTTCAGAACTAAAAAAGGGGTTAAACAAGAATGTGTTGTTTCCCCGTTGCTGTTGAATATAGTCATGAACAAAATTATAAAAGATACGTTGGGAAAGAACTAAGGTCCAATCAGAAGAAACCCAAATTGATTTTTATACTAAATGTAGTCTCAAAATTGGCCTGGATATAAATTTTGATAAAACAGTGATATTGCTCTTGTCCCATGCACCCCCTCTGAATAATTTGGTAGTAGGGGGCAAGATGGTCAAGGTAGTGAAATCCTATAAATATATTGGTGTAACCATTGACAATAGAGGCAGTTGCAAAGAGGAACTAAAAATCGGCATGCAAAATCCTAGGGCAGTTTTTTTACAAATTTTTTAAAGTGTGGAAGGCTAGGGAGATATATGTTTTTACAAGACTCCGTATTTTCAATTCAACCATCATTCCGATTCTCTTCTATGGCGGTGACATATGGGAGATTACCAAGACTGAAATAGAAAATTGCAGACGTTTTCGTAAATAAATGTCTGAGAATAATAAATGATCTTCTACCCTAATATTATATTGAATGAAAACCTTTGGAAAAGGTCAAACCATATTCAAGTACACACGACATTAAAAAAGAAGCACCTTACTTTCTTTACCCATATTCTGAGATACCATAGTAATAATAGTCTCGTTATCGATGCCATTAATTGGTTATACTCCTTTAATAGGGAAATATATTACAAATATAAGACATTATGGTTCCACAGGGTTTTGAAGGACATAATGGATTTAAATTTAAATATGAAACAATTCCTGAAGTTGATAAAAACAAAAGGTCAATAAGGAAATTACTAAAAATCAAATCTAATTATCTAAATCTCCCATAAACTCTTCCTTGATTTAAGTTATTAATCTTTTTATTTTTCATTTATGCTCTGACTTATATTTCACTGATACTAGCTTTTAATTTATTTTCATTTTAACTTATCATAGATACAATGTATTTTAAAATTAAAATAGATTCTTCCCTTGCCTTTAAAGTAATTAAATACATATGCGTCCTAGGACTATTGCGCGTACAAATACGTGTGGCTTGCCCACAAACGTGTGAAGGGCTCCTCATTTTTTCTCCCCCTAATTTTGATAGATTTGAGGAAACCCTAGCGTAGCTCTGTTGTATCCACAACCAGAGGGCGAAAACGTTCTTTATCACTTATCACGTAAATTTTTATTTGCCGTATTTTTTGAATCTCAGAAGTTTATTTTTTGAATCTCATAATAAATTATATAAAAAATTACACAAACCAATGGTATATAATATTAGAGAAGAATGCTTCTGATGAAATAATTATGCTTGATGTTGAAGTTGACAAAATTTCCTCACAAAAGAGCGATTATATGGGATCAATAAAGACGGTGAAAAGGCTGTTTGCAAACATTGCACACCTCTTATTAATTATTATAAGGTTTCATTCACAACTAGGGATTACCTATCTATACAAGAAACATCAACTGCTTGTGAAAGGCTTTTATCAGCTGGAACTAATTTGTTGTCAAAAATCGTATGTAATATAAGGAAGAAAATATGAAAAAAACTAGAATTATAAATTAAATTAATATTATACATTTTAATTTGTTTATAACTTGATTACATATTTTTTATCATCAGATTATTGATTACATAGTAAACAGTAGGTCTATCAAAAACGAATTCGAATTGATAAGTGCATAATTTACTATGCATTCGTACGAATAATAAAATCTACTATTTGTAGTCGATTCGAATAATTGAAACGAATTTTCTTAATAAAATAAATCATACTCAAATATATTGACAAATTTTTTTAATGCAAATTTTATTCCAAGACATCCATTCCATATAATTTATTCGAAATTATAATTTTAAATTAAAAAAGAATTCATAAAGGAAAATATTTTCTTTACCTAACCCGCTGCTAGTAACATTTTATCAATCATAAATAGTACTCAATGGCATATAACACTCTATTTGGCACATCCCACTTAAATAGATGTACCATAAAATATCTAATAAATTTGGCAAAATATTTTAAGCAATATTTCGAAAAGGGTATGATAGAGAAAACATTATACATGAATATAAATATGAATCAAATCAACAATGATTAATAATGGCATATTTATGCACGTTTAAAATTTTCATTTTCCGACAATCGCCATTTTTAATTATATTTATCATTACGAAGAAATACCGAAAAATATATTAATGATTTATAAAAAAATTTTTTTAGAGAACAACTATGTTAAGACATATAATTTTTTTTTATTTTTTATAATATAAATTTAAGTATTATTCGTATAAAAATATGTATAGATAAAAATTCAACTATACAAATATAGCAAGCATAGCCTCCTGAAATTTGTTTGTTCTCGTATTTTATTTTAATGCTAATAAAAAAACCGAGCCAAAGAAATTTAATATTTAACTTCCAAATTATTTCGATATATATAATAATAGGTAACCAATAGAAATGAATTTAGCACAATGAATAACATAAAAGTGAATTATGAAGCATTTAGAAAATAATTTATTTATATATAAAATTACATGAAATCATTCAGGTTATAAATGTGACTAACTATCGAACAATAAACTTACACATTTTTAATAAAATGACGCCGCGGTTATGTATAAATATATGAATAATTTAATGGCATTAATTTATATGACAAATTGTGACAACAATTTTACTTTTGAATACACAAAGTTTCATTCCCAACGATTTTGTGAGAAATAAAAATATAGGAGAAAAATTTGGGGACATTCAGGAGAAATTCTTGAGAATACTAACTTACTTTTTTTTCCCTCGTATTCATTAAATAAAAAAAGCTTTCCTCCATGAGCGAAACTTTTACGGCCAGTCCCAGAAGTGAAATATTTCCTCTTGTTAGAAGAGAAGCCCATATTATATATAATAATATACGAGAAATCAGTGATATAAAATTAAACAGATCTAATAGTTATAAAATATAATGCATGAGTTGTGGCATATATTTGAAAGTATATCTATATTATTTAAGTATATATTTGTGTACAATAAATTTTGTGAAAATAAAGATTAAAAATCTTTTTAATAAAAAAAAGCTATATATATATATAAAATACTATATAATACATAACGTATAATGTGTGATTTTTTAAAAAATGAAACCTTATTTTTGATTTTTATTTAAGCAAAGAGTGGCATTTAGAATTTCGAAATCTTACATAATTTTAAATATGACTAGTGAAATTTTTTAAAAAAATATAGAAATCGATTGAGTAAAATTAAATATTTTTAAGAAAATGAGAATCTAATTAACAAAATTAAAAGATCTTTTAAATTCAGAGACCAATAATATGTTGAAAAAAAGACAACATTAAATTGATTAGAAAATAGGGGGGAGGGGGGGGTATTTAAAAATAAATATAAATATGTTATATATTATAATAACTAATTGTGATTTGTTTGATTGTGCCATATAAAAATATTTTGATTATATGAAGAGCAATGGTTTAAAAACTTTGGTTAAAAATATAATAAGAAGCCAAATAATGATATTTGTCATTTATAATAAATAATTCATTTGTATTTTCATGTTTTTCAATTGTTTCGAATAAAAATTAGACAGAGCAAACGCGTCTATTACAGCCAATGACTACAGCTGACTTTAATATATGTATACTTATAATATGAATCGTCTAGATTAGAAGATAATCATCATGCAATCAACCAAACACGATCATTATACGTTGAATTAAACTTAAAATTCTTTTTCTTCTTCCTTTTTTACAAAGGAGTATTTCATACACAAATCATAGTTGCCTTCAAAATTCCACCCACCATTAGGGTCTCCGAACCCCAGATCAAGCGAATCGAAGGGAAGGATATTAAGATCATCAAAGGTTACGTTCGAATCGTAAAGTATATCGAGGTTATCTTTTAAAGTAACTACATTATTAGTTATCGAGCATTGCGTTGGGTCCGAATTTTTTTTGGGCGATTGATGGACACCGCATATTCCTTTTCGAAAATAAAATATTAAATATGATAATGTTTTACGCTATGTTCTTGTAATGTATTTAAATTATAGTGATGTATTTAAATTATAGTGATGTATTTAAATTATAGTGATGTAGTCAAAGGTAAAATTTTGTTCTTGAACCTAAATTAGACTCAAGACCTTAACATTAGAGGCACAATTAGGACAGAGTTCGATATCACCTTGAATAATGAAAATTATGATTTAAACAAATACGAGTCGGGCAAAGAATTCTAAGGACCAAGTCAAAAAACCATCTCATGCTAACTTGAGTAGCAGATTCCGTCAAATAGAAGTATACAAAAATATCTACTGATACGTATCAACAAAATTGATTCTTAATATTCTTAAAATAGTTAACATATACCAAAAAATTAAACCAGTTTATAGAACTTTTGAGCGGTACGGGTGGCAAAATTTTTAATAGCTCAGATTCGGTTCAGGTTCTGTAAATAATACCGGTTAGGTTCCGTTTGGATCCCTGTAACAAAGTAAATAAAATATAATATAAGAAAGAGGAATATAATTATTTTCATTAATAAATTTATATAAAATATGCAAAATATTTTTAATAGGAATGAAGGAAATATATAAATAAAATTTGTAATAAATTTTTTTTAAATGGAGGGGTATATCGTAATGGTCAATGCAATTGTGTCAAAACTTGGTCCCCATATCATTCTAATGAAATTTTACCCCACCCCTCCTCCACTTGCCTGTGATGGAAAGCACTGACCTTGTTTCTAATATTTTAATCATTCATATTTAAAATATATGCCTATTAATTGAATATTATATTTGGTTCGTGATCAGTAAATATTATATATAGATAAAACTTGCATAAATCAGACCGATAAAACTAATTAAATATTATTTGTCATGCAAGAGTGCATCAAAAGAGAAAATATCAATTTTAAGATAGGGAAAAATATTTTTTGATAATTCGTGTTGTAAAAGGCAAAAAAATAATTAGCTACCTTACAGTTACATTTTATCACAAGTCACTAGTTAATTAAAAAATAAATAATTTGTTAGTGTTACATTTACAGTTACTTAATCTTATCTATATAACTAATAATTATTAATATAATTTTTTATTATCTAAAAATTAATGTTCATTAATAATTTTTATTATGATTTAAAAAAATATTATTCATAACAATTTAATGAAAATAATTATTTTTTATTAATTTGGGCTTAAAAAATATTATTTGTAAATTAATATATAGAAGGCGATAGTGGCATAACTAGGAAAGGAAATGGGTAGGAGAAAATCCAATTTTTAAAAATTTTCTCTATTCTGTAAATGCTTATTTTTTTATGATTTTAAAAATCATTTGTATAAACAATGCTAAAAATAAAATTTCTTCAAAAAAATTTAAGAGCAAAGTTTAAATCAAATCAACCAATATAACGAATCGCGAAAAAAACATGGGTAATAATGTAGGGGTTTTTTTTGATTTTGAGTGCCATAAAATCGGGAAAATAAGACTTTTCAAAAAAATAACTATATGAGTAAGAACCCCCATCATTAGGCAATTATTTTTGCCACAGGTATTTTTTTCCTCATAGCGAATCTAACGAGAATCATCTTCGAATTTGCCCTAAGCCCGGGATTCCCAGACACAACCAGGGGTATTTACGGACAAATGTATATTAGCTTTATTTTAATAGAAAATGATTTTAAAATCGAGAAATTATAGAAAAACTTTATTAATGAATTTAAATATTATATAAAAATTAAAGTCTGCAAACGCTATATATAAAAAAACATCATAATTAGCACATGACTATGTGCTTACCCCTTATATACTTTACATTCTAACCATTTTCTACAACATATAAAACATAAACAATCATTTAAATCCATAATTCTTTTTATAATTTATTTATTGTATAATATATATCAGAGACCTGCAGAGCTACCATTGCACGGCCCAGCTCGGATTTTTTTCAGCCTGGGTTTTATAATGTCAGGTCCGTCCCGCCCGTGTTTTTAAAAAATATATTAAATTTATTTTCAATCTTTAGAGCTAATAATGACGATTTAAAATATATTTTTTTTAAAAAAAATTTCATCTCTGATATATATATATAATATTTTATCCTAATTTAATTATAAATCTATTAAATAAATTTGTTTTAACATATATTTAGAAAATCTTCTAAGGTTTTAAATTTAATCACATATATTTCTTCATGAATCTAAAAATAATTTGAATATTATATTTGGTAATATAGAAATTAAACATATAAATTTAACATGATTTTGTTTAGCAAATTTGGTAAAGCTTTTTATATGAAAGATTCATTATATAATTTTTTATCTTGATTAAATTTTAAATCTACTGAGTAAATTTGTTATAACATATTAGAAAATCTTCTTAAGTTTTAGATTTATTCACATATATTTTTTCATGAATCTAAATACCAACCTATTAAATAATTTTGAATATAGAAATTAAAAAATATAAATTTATATAATTTTTGTTTAGCAAATTTGGTAAAGATTTTTATATGAAAGATTAAGCTTCTTATTTTTATAATTGGGAATAAAATAGTGATATTAAGCATAGCTAAAATTGACATTTAAGCATTTTAATCCATTTGATTAGAAAAGTTAATTTTTTTAAGAGAAAGACCAAAATATAATTTTGCAGCTTCAAGAATATAATCTTTCAAAAGTTACTCCAGAGTGTTTGTAAAAACCTTTGTTTTGCCTGGAGATAATATTATTATTATGAGTAATGTAGGGAACCCAGTTTCATTGAGGCTTTTAGATTTAGTTAAATGATCTTGAATTGTTAATTTAGGAATTGACATAATATTTGATATAGTTCTAATAGATATATTGTCTTCATGCATTTTTAAATTTGATAATAATATATAATAGTAATAAACTTATGATTATTTTTCCTTGTATATTTTCGCATTATAAAAAATAATTAAAAAAAATAAATGAATGAAGTGTCCAGCAATTACTCCGCCCGGAATATCTCCGGTGGCAGAATCTACATAAATGCGATCAGTATAAAATAAATCTTAAAACTTTGAAATTTTATTTTATTTTATTGTTAAGGGTTCAAAGTATCAGTTTTAATGTGCGGAACTTAAATGAATTAATTTTGAACAAAAAAATCTAACAAACTTCTTTTTTTACTTTTAGTCATTAAAAGAGGTTTTTTTGCATTAGAATTCTTCCAAAGTAACAGAAGCTGATTTTTTTTCTCACAAACTAATTTTTTAGTAAACCTATTTTAGTTATAAATTTCAAATCTCAAAGTAAAATAGTTTTTAAATAAGAAGGCTATCCGGATTTACGCCATGTCCAAAATAGTCACGGTTTTCCCTACTATTATGTCAGCAAAATAAGTAAAAAAATATATTTTTATTTACTAGTAAATTTTTTATATTGATTTTTCAATTATATTTTAAAAATGAATATTTAAATTTATGCGTTTCATATTACAACAGGATTAAGTATTTGACAGGCCAAATACACACTTAAATCAATTGACCGCTCAAATATGGTCAAATTAATTTTCATGACGATATTAACTTATTTTGGAATAATATGAGTAAATAAAATGTATAAAACATGTTTACAGGTGAGCATATAATTAAATGATGATATTTTGATGGATTTATTCTAGAAATAATGTTTTTATTACTTTAACAGAGTTTTTTTTGGATTGTTATAGCTAATTTCCCCGTAATCAAAAAAGAACTCGCTTCTTTATATGAATATTGCCCCAAACGGACCAATTTCTTTTTGGAAAATAATATAGTTTGATGGTTATTATGGCATGTCATTCTTTAAAGGGCAAGGTGGACAAAATCCCTTCCAACAGCTTGATATTGACATCTGATGTTGATAGATTTTATCGCATTTTACATATTTTGTTATCAAAGACACCTCTATCACATCAAAAATTTATTGTATAAACCGATCATCATCACCACCCTCCAGAAATCCTAGTTCTTATTATTATAATATAAGCTTCATCGAATTCATTGTTCATAATTGATATAGGTGAAATAAGTAGATAGTCTTGTTTCTTCTAGTAGAGATATTGGATTATAGCATGATTGAATATGCTGTTATAAAGATAGCTCTATTTTTTTATTTGATACATCCCACTAAGCCAATGAAGATTTTACTATCCTCGAAAATTTTCCCCTATCTTTCTCTAAATGTCTTGGAAATATATTAAAAACAGGTTATTCAACGACGGCTACTTTTAAAGCTCTTTTGCAAATTTGTAATCGCCGCAACATTTTAAAGAGGAACAAAAAAGCTAATAGTAATTAGTGTAAATAAGATATGTGTTTATTCTAAAAAAGAAGACATCTAACAGTTCAAATTTCCAAAATATATTTTAAAAATCTAATAGTGCGCACAAATTGAACGTTGCAACCTTTTCAAAACGCAAACAATGCATTTAAATGAATTCGTTCACTTTGAGAACATTTCCATTTTTTTATTTTAAATTATTTTTTAAAAGACAAACTTGCTTGCGTTTTTTAAAACTTTTTATAATTTGAAGTGATGAAATTCTTCTAAATTGTAAGAATAATTATTTTTTAAATGATATAATTTTAGGACATGGGACGATGAAATTAACAAAAGGTTTGCAGAAATGCTGGACGACCATAAAAAAGTTTTATTGTTATCGAACATTTATCAGTTATTGGTTGCAGGTATAAATATATAAGAATATTAAATATAATAATATAATTAAGCAATGGAATTCCCTGGTTTTGATAACAGTCCTCTTTATCTCAAAAAGAGATTGAGAAACTCAAGGATTAGCTGAATAATGAGAAAATAGGAAAACCTACTTAATAAAATATTAATGGTTTTAAATTTAAATGCTTCATATTGGAAAATAAAACTTAACGCATCAATTTAAACAAGGGTTTACGTTTTTTTATATGCGTTTTGTAACGCTGCGTTGCAATGTTCAATTTGTGCGCACAA